AGGAATCTAGACATGAAGCTCAATTATCTTTCTCAGTCTTGATCTCCAAATTCCACAGCATCTGACATAGCTAAATACCCCTCCTTAGAACCTTCTGCTGTCTGTAAAACTTTACTTCCTGGATTCTTCATCCATCTGACTGCTCTTAACTCCTCCTCCTTCTATATCCTTCCCATCTCCCCACATCTTGGTTCCACAACAATCCAAAAGTTCTGTTCTTGGCCATCTTTTCCTTCTATACTGTTCCATATAACAGTATCTTTGGCTTCAACTAACACCACCCAATCTCCACTCCTAATCTCTTTCCCAACTATTTTTACTACCAGCAGGATATCTTCCAGAAACACTTATGAAAATCTCGTTATTTCTCAAATTTAATTCATGAAAGCAGTAGTGTCCACTTACTGAGAGGTTACTAGGTGTGTGCTGTGCTCAGCACTTTTAGTCTCACGTGTCCTCACAACAAATCTAGAAGACAGTTTTATCTATTTTACAGATGAGGAAACTGAAGCTTAAAAAAATTTAGTGTTAATCCATGTTCTTAACCATAAGATTACCTTTCTCTTTTAATGTATCAGCTTTCCTACCAATCTCCTTTCCTTCAGTGTCTCCCTTCGTAAAATCACTGTAGTGTAAGTTTAAACCCTTATCTTTGACTATTTCCTCTCTCTTACTCATCACATTCCACAGTTGCCAAGTTTGGTCAGTTCTATCTACTCTCCATTCCTACTGCCATTATGATAGTGAAGAAGAGATCTTCGCTAGTCCTGGATACCCGTAATAACCTCCTAGCACTGAAAGATACCTTTAGCATCTTTTCTAGTCCAACCAACCTTTAAAAGAAAGAGTTCTGATCATGTAACTCCTTTTGGAAAACCTTTAGTCTTACACTCAAAGATCTTTAATATGATAAAGTTCTGATTCTAAAAATTATTGTTTATCATTAATGAAACTGGTGCTTAATATGGGTATCCTATGATATAAATTAAACCCTATTTCATTTGTAAAAGGGATTCTTTTTTCCTACAGACTTACCTTTTGCTGGGTCACCCAAAGTGCTGATAGCACTGCTGCCAATACAGAGTCCACGCTGACATACCAACTTTGCCTTTAAACAAAAAATAGTACTTTGCTTATCATATCAGTCTTGGGAGAGGTAATGAAATAATGCTATAATCTATAAGCTTTCAAATACATAGACTCTGTACACTGTGTGTATTCATGGCACAAAGCAAGCTTATATAAGGCAACTGTGTTCTGGTTAATAGTTCAAAGTTTTTCATGAAATTTTGTCATTTCTGTTAACAAAAATGTCACCACCAAAACCAAATTAAGCAAGATCACAGATAAGTCCTCTCTTAAAGATTTTTCAATTATAGCTTTGGAATCACTAAATTTGAAAACATTTTACCCCCAAATGTTTTTTTGTAGGATGAATCCATAGTATCTTATTTAGAAATAAGTGATATATAAATTCTTCTGGTGTTACTGTAAAAATCTTTACGTTAGACACTAATATTAATCATTCTTTAAGCAAATGCAACCTTGTTCTTTAAAATTAGCCCAACCAAAACATTACCTTTGAATTATGTTAAAACTGTATCTAAATGCCAAACATATCTTTGGAGACATAACCTGCACACAGTTCCTCCTCCTACAAGTTAGGTACAAGCAATGGTATGGATGTTCAACCTTCAAAGACAGGTGTGAAATAATCCCAATTAACTAGAATGCTGGAAGTGTTCTGTTCCTCTTATCTCAAAACCATGTATTTAAACTTGAAAAACCTCCACGAGGAACATAAAGTATCTATGTAAACAATAATACAGAATGGAGAAATATCCATTCACTCCATTAAAAGGCATTACTGATACTTAAGAAATTGTTTTAATTCAAATCTCACCATGAGATTACAAGTGTATTTAAAATAAAACTATAAAGGACCTATAAAAAGTTGTATAAATCAAATCTCTTTCATAACTGGCTTTTACTGTCATTTACACTGCCACCAAACTAAATAACAAAAAAGACTGATGAACTGGTAATCTTACAATTCTTACATAACTGAAATACCAATATTTAAGTTTAATGATATCACTAATTTTATACATAATATCACAACATTAATTTTCTACAACCTAATTCCCTTACCTGATTTTCAGTTTCAAACAGAAGAAACCCGTAAGTTTCTTGAAGTTCTTCCTGAGTATAGTTACTTGCTTTTTTTTCTTGGTAAAAAGTTTTGTACTGTATAAAGAGAGAATAACCAAATGCTATAAATGTTATTTTGCCTTGTAAATTAATTTTTAAAATGCATCACCTGCATTTGAAGTACAAAATGGGATGAAGAAGCACTAATCATTAGCTACTAAACAGTCATAGGGAGTATAGTCAATACCATTATAATTGGCTGTGTGTAGTGCCAGATGGGTGCTAGAGTAACTGGGGGGATCATTGTTATAAATCATATAAATGTCTAACCAATGTACTATATACCTGAAACTAATATAAAACAAAATAAAAATAAATAACTGCATCATCTGAATTCCTCCTAATAAAAGACTAATAAAATGTGTTATTTTCCTATCCCTTAGAATACATTATCATTACCTTCCAAGTGATCATTTCCAAAGATCTGGTATCTACTCTGAAAAGTGACAGCTTAAAAAAACTAGGCTTATATACCCAAAATGATGGGTCTATTTCTTTAAAGCTAAAATAAAACTAACACACAGGTACAGTGTGTACCAAGCACCTCACCTCGTTTAAGAAAATGTCATTTTTCACCAAAGTCACTTGACTGTACTGAAAACCATGCTCAGATGCAGAGTCCAAGTAAGAAGTATGGAGAATTGAAACTGCCCTCTGGAAGACAGAGTCTGAACTCAAGGACACTGTCTCAAAAACTGTAAAACACAAACAAAAATAATGCAACTGTTTAAGATAACCAAAAAAATGGGGTTTTTTGGCATACTAAATATCACTGAATACTTCATCTATTTCCGATATAACTAAAACTTTTACAATGTATTTTGGCTATCATATCTACAGTGTCTTAACTTAAAAGATCGCTCATGCGAAGAAAATAATCTAAATGAATTACAACTGAGGGTGAATCACTTTCAATACAAGAGTAAAACATACTCTGCCAGACCCCTTATGCTTTGAGGTTTAAAGCTGTTGCTGTAACTGCAGGGGACTGTACTGTCAAGCTTGTGGTCCGTAGTCACTAACCCATGTTTCTCACCCTTACAATTTTTTAAACCTACATCATATTCTGACAAACTCGCCCTTCCCACTTTCTCATCAAATCCCCGAGTCTACCAGGTTCCTTTAGAGGGGCCTACTGTTGCGCGCTCCGCAAACACATTAGAAATCACCAGTTTAGATGGGTCTATTGAACCTTACTTCTTATGGGTTGTATTATAAAATCATTTGTTTCATTTTACAAAAATAAAACTTTATTACTTTTTTGAAAGTGTTTTTTGTTTGTTTGTTTGTTTTAAAACCATACCTATTTGCTATCCCACAGATTCTGATATGCCCTTCCCAGGAGAGGCATGTTTCCTAATTAAGAATTGGTGACATATCCAATAATTCTCATGATTGAACTTGAGCCTTTCAACTTTACAAGTCTTCACTGTAGCAAGAACTGAGCCTAATGAATTCTGATAACATTTAACCATTTGATTTGATTATTGGCCTCTGTTTGTATCTTCTCTACTTTCTTATACAAGATGGGGGGTGGTGGTGGTGGCACAAACTGATAATTTATAAATAATAAAGAGTATAGAACAATTCTATAGCACTGGAAGTTTTAGTTATATAGTATAAATAAGCACATTAATATGGCTTCCTAATCTTACCAGAACTCTGCAAATTCAAGTTCAAAAGTTAAAGGGGAAAAAAAGCATTTTCATTAAAATTGACTTATGAATAACAGAAGTTAAAGAAAAAAAACTAGACTGTCATAGAAATGAAACAAACACTTCAGTAAAATTAATTTGGACTAAACTGTCCTAACACTTCAATTATAAAGGTAGTTTAAAAATGTTTTAATAAGCAAAACTTCCTAGTAACAACAATGAAAGATTATAAATAACAAGGAAAAAAAAAGAGCATGAAATATTTAACTTTCTGAGGTTGGTACATCTGATCCATATCAATTCTGTTATACTTTTTCTCAGTTTCACTTTCTCCTTCAATATCAGTACAACTGTACGTTCAATCACAAGGACATTCCAAACAGATTAAAACAGCAAAACACGGTGACAATAACATTATGGTTTTCTTTAGCTGCATTAACTCAAACTGGGAAGCTTATGCATTTGCAAATTCATCTTACAAATGCTAGCAATACAAATTTGTATTGCTAGCTCTAATACAAATGAGCAGTCCTTTAAAAATTATAATTTTGGAAACTTTGTATTTAATATTTTTTAAAAGGCAATGTCATATTAAAAATCTAAGAATAATCTGAGACTCAATATTTGAGCAATACGTTGCTTACAGTGAAATAAAGGTTGTTACAGCTTTGGAAACGAACCCCGTGATCATCAGCTCCTCTAAATTCCGCAAGATGTTAATAGGTAGGAGCAGATTCTAAGTTTTGTAAGTACTGAATATTACCTATATCCCTATTTTTGAGTGTCAATGAACAATAAACTGAAAACTGTAAAAAATAGTGCAATTAAAAAAAACTGATCTCACATAGTGCTTCACAAATACATGTGGTCAGAGAACGCTTTATGCCAGTGTGTAGAATATTGTTCTCAGTAGAGCTAATAAAGATAATGATTTAAAATAAGAACAAGTAGAAAATGAATTACTTTGTGCATCCATATTTTTATTTCTAAAACTATTTATGGTTTAAAATGCTCCCCCTTTAGGTCAGCATTCTCCAAATAGCAGTGTATTTATAAAAGTAATCATTGTACAGTTAAAAGGAAAAACATGTCAAAAGCCAAGTTGTTGGAAAACCACACTAAATCTTGAATCTTTCATGACTTCTTAAGAAATTACTTCAATTATACTCTCTTTAAGAAAGCACAAGTTTTCTGCTTTGCAAATAAATAGATAAGAATTTGAGAATTTGACACTCTTCTTACAAAATGTACTTTCATTTAAGAATCTAACTAGTGTGCGAAACAATATGAGCACAAAATAAATGAATGACCTCATTTTTGCTGAGCAATATACAAGCTTTTTTATGTACTCAAGACTACTGGGAGGATGAAGTGGGGACTATTCCACAAAAAAACCCTAAAACATCTAAGACAGCAGCTTGGAAGTGCCTGTCTGTAAAGTGGAAAG